GACAGAGTGTTACTTCCGTCTTAAAGATTCCTTCCTTGCCTCCATTTTCATGAAATGTTCGAAGGAGTTTCTAGTGGAATCAGACCCGTTATTATCTTATCTAGGTGTTTCGATAACTACCTATCTCAGGATCAGTGTACCGACACTTTTTTTTTTTTTGCAAAAGAGGGAACGAGAGCAGGCAAGAGCAGGGGAGGGGAAGGTGGAGAGAATTGAGGGGAGTTGTGTGCGCGGCCGTGCAGTGCTGAGGGTGGCAGCCTCACCTAACCTGCCCTGCGGATGTTAAACGGACTCTCTGTGTAAAAGATGGTAAATGAGATGCCTGGCAGATTGCCTCCGATGTCTCTGTCCTCACCGGCAGAGACCGGAGGAGAGACGTCGAGTGGGGTTATCCGTCCCAGGAAAGAGAAACTCTTGTCTCCTCTCCCGTGTCTTCTTCGCAGAATGAGAATCACCAGCCAGTCACCTGGGTGTAACTGTGTCGTTTCTAATCTTTTCATTGCCGACCCGCCCCCCCCCCCCCCCCCGTCTTGTAGTATCTTTATGTTCAAAACAGAAAAGATCAGGTATTTTTGTGTGTGCCTGAAATAACTCTGGCTAACAGGCCGTGACCTCGTGAGGCCTGAAGTTTTAATTCATCCCGAAGAGGAAAATGGCCACTTGGTCCTCTCTCTCTCTCTCTCACTTGCCTCTTTTGCTTGGATTCTGCTAATGTCTCTTTGCCAACCTGACTTTGGCAGAGTCTGGGGCTGAATGGGGAAGAGGCTTCTTGCTCAGGGCCATGCTGGCTGGGAACTCATCTCACCCAGGAATACCTGGGAATCGGGAGGAAGCTTCTCTGGTTAGATTTTTTTTTTTTGAGTCGCAGGAGAACTTCTTCAGGGTGATCCCGGCACCCTAGTCCCTCTTTGCCTTTTGGTAGTAAGTTGTTGCCATGTCCAGGGACCCCGTGACACTCCGGCCCCTGCCTTCCATGTCATCCCCTCCTACCACGGTCCCTGTGTGATGGCCATCCTAACGGAACTGGTCTTACTAGGCACTGCCTCTCGAGCCTCGGACTGCAGCATATACCTGCTTACCAGCAGTGAACCCCGAGTTCCGCTTTCACTTTGGGGAATTTACTTGCTCCCTGCGGTGCAGAGAAACAGATTTGTGATGAAAATCTGGAAGATTTGGGGCATCAGGGTTCCTGGGCTACCCAGCCATTGGCCCAGCCTCTCCCGATTGTGTTTGGCTGTAATTTATGGTTTTCAAAGAACTTTCAAGTTTCTTGATTACATTCGAGCCTCAGATTAGTCCCATGATGCAGGCAGGGCAGAAATTATTTTATTTCCGTTGTACTTGAAGGCGTTATGACTCAGAGCATCAAGTATCACAGGATACTGGCCAATGAACATGGCTGCCGGAGCGGAAGAGTGGGGACTGATTTCAGAGCGGCCCAGACCTGCCGGCGAGGTCAGGCAGGAGTGTGAGGACTCATGGGGACCGGTGGAAAGTTAACACTTTCTCATCTCAGCGTGTCCCAGAGTGCAATTCAAAGTAATGAACTGGCTGAATATAGAGATTTCTTTTCTCTTCCCACAGAAGCACAGGAACGCTGGGAGATTAACCAGCCATAAATTTCTGGGACTGCTTAGCCATGGTGAGATGTGGTCTCGACTGTGTCCGATCTAAGGGAAAGTTCGGAAGCCTATCGGTTTCTCATCAGATCTTCACTGCCCACTCCCACCCTATTCTTAACTCGCTCCCGACTTCGTGGCTGGGCTCCAGTGGCTGGGAGAGGACCTTGCTCCCCAACAGGAGTGGTTTCTCTGTCTTCTCTGGTTTAGCAAGACTTCACGAAAGGAGGCAATTTAGGTGTATCCAACAACGGGAGATTATAATCTATTAACATGCTCATCGCATCATGTCTGTTATGCCCAGCTGGATGCCTGTTTATGTATGCTATGAGTGAGTTCCTTTCTTCTTATCTAGGTGTTTCGATAACTACCTATCTCAGGATCAGTGTACCTAGGTGGTGTTGAGACTAGTTATCTGGGTTTGTGTTGCTGTCTGTGTAACTAGATATTATATTTCGATATCTGGCTGTGTATATCTAGATAGCCCCGTAAAGAGCCGTGTGTCTAGACATTATCTCGGGGGAAGATTTGATGTGACCGTAGATTCCTATCACCTGTGCAGGCTGCATCTTTATCTTGATTGTCACTTTGAAGGAGGAACCCTGAGATGTTCTTTTGGCAGTGACCTTTCAGCCCTTCTGCCTTCCTGGCGCACGAGGGAATTGGGTCTCCGCTCCAGCCTGTGGTTCTGTACCCCTCTTTGGGGTGACCTCTCCTGGCTCAACCCCAGGAAGCTGTGTGTCTGCTGGCCCCAGAAGCGTTGTTGGCAGCCTTTTGCTCTTGGCTGTTGGCTTCTGTCTCCCTTAACTGTCCTTTTCCAGCTTGGGGAGCAGACAGGTAGATCCTGGAGCCAGGAGAGCCTCTTCTCTTCCTCCACCCCCGAGGACCCCGGTGGAAGAGATGATTTTTTCTCTAAGGAGTCAGGAACGACTGGGATCCTGACATTTCCTCCTTGAGGTGGTTTGCCATGTTTCCCTGATGCGTGGCCAGATGCGTGGTTTGCTGGATGGGGCAGCTGGCTGCCATTGAGGTGCCTCCGATTCTGACTCCTTGTGGGGAGTCGTCTCTGCTTGCTTTGTAAAGGCCCCCCTTGATTCTCCCCACCCTCCCCACTCCCTGCAAATGCATTTTAAGAACAAAACAGACAGAAGCGTCTCACAAAAAGAGAGAGACGGTATGCTGTCTCAGATGCAGAAGGCTAGTTGAAGACCTTCAGAGTAGGCCCTTGCTTGTCTCTTTCCTGGAGCTCACTCCTGCTCTCGAATTTTCAGGATGAGGGTGCTTTCATGCCCGCTCAGTGCTGCGCGCCCTGAAGTGCTTATTAGCAAGTACTCGGTGACAGGTTGGTTGGCTTTTTGGTTAGGAGTGCAGAGTCAGAACTAGGCAGAAATCGCAACTTTCAGTCATTGCTCGGTTGCTGTGATGGGGTCGCGGGACCAACCTTCTGGAGGGACACACTGCATTCAAACACGGCCCCAGAACCTACACATTCCAGGGGAGGATTTTTACAGCACCTCTTACTGCGAGAAAGCTGGGCAGAAGAGAGGCAACCGAATGTTAGTTTGGAGAGGGGTGTGGCCCTAGTCTCTCCAAGCAGAGGGACTTCAACTCTCGAGATTGATCACATTGTCAGTGCTTTCTTGGTCCGTAGTGCAGATTTCCAATGAGGGGACAGAGTGTTACTTCCGTCTTAAAGATTCCTTCCTTGCCTCCATTTTCATGAAATGTTCGAAGGAGTTTCTAGTGGAATCAGACCCGTTATTATATTTTAGTTACCAGAGAAATGCAGTCTTACGAGGTGGGTCTCTAGAACACAGTCCTTGAGAATGCAGAGTTTCCTGGGGAACATTTTCCCAAAGTGACTGATGTAGATGAACATAATTAACACCCTCTGCGATGGAACACCTCACCCCTGATCTCTTGGTTGCTGCAACCGAGAAAGGCTGACAGTCAGAACTCGGCCACAGACCGAATCTGCAGGACGCGGGGTCCCCGGGAAAGAGACAGGAAAGGGTGGGGAGGAAGGGGGCCCCTGAAAGCAGATCCCTGGCGTGGAGCGGTCAGAGTAGCCGTGTTGAGGGGTGAAAGCCTGTGCCCTTTCAGAGCCAGCCAAAAAGTAAAAAAAAAAAAAAAAATTGATCTTTGTTTAGATTAACAGACCCCTGACCATGAAGAAGGAAGGCATCCAGACCAGAAACCGAAAAATGTCTAGCAAATCCAAAAAGTGCAAAAAGGTGCATGACACGCTGGAGGACTTCCCCAAGAGCAGCTCGTTCAACCCGGCTGCCCTCTCCAGACACATGACCTCCCTCAGCCACATCTCCCCATTCAGCCACTCCAGCCACATGCTGACCACCCCGTCGCCGATGCACCCCCCGTCTAGCCTCTCCTTTGGACCTCACCACCCTTCCAGTATGGTCACTGCCATGGGCTAGAGCCCCTGCTCGATGCTTCTAGGCCTCCCGGCGAGAGTCCCTCCAGCCCCTCCTACGTGCATTTTTGCAGGAGCAGTATCATGAAGCCGAGAACCGATGGATCTATGTTTTGAAGGCAGAAAGCAAAAGGGCGGTTGTCACTTTTGCAAAGGACCTCACTGTGCTGTGTTCTCGATCACCGAATCTGGATCCCATTTGTGAATAAGCCATTCAGACTCATATTCCCTATTTATCAGGGTCTCTCTAGTGCTGTGAAAAAAAAAGAAAAAAGAAAAAAAGAAAACAAACCATGCCGAACATTGCATATAACTTATATTGTAAGAAAATACTGTACATTTGAAGAAGACGTTATTGCATCTGGGGAGCTGTAAGAAAGGCATTGAAGGACGCCAAGAATCTTAAGGAATACGGGGAAATAAAGTGTGGAAATTAAGAAGAAACTAGGTCTGCTATTCACATGGACAGACCGCCAGTGTTGATTCCTTGCACTGGTCACAGTTGGATGCATTAAGAGGATAAAAAAAAAAAAGAAAAAAAAGAAAAAAAAAAGAAAAAAGTCGTAGGCAAATCATTCGTTCAAAGCGGTGGGCCTCTGTCTAGAAGATTCTATCAGTTCTGGGTGGTCAGTGTGGCCACTCATGCACACATTGCCATCAAAGGGGTCCCAGAGCTTCGCTCAGGCCTCCCCGCTTTGTGAACAAGTCCCTGTAATTGTTGTTTGTATGTATAATTCAAAGCACCAAAATAAGAAGAGATGTAGATTTATTTCATCATATTATACAGACTGAATTGTTGTACAAATTTATTTACTGCTAGTGTTAAGAACTACTTTTTGTTTTCATATTTTCCTTCTTTCTCGATTTTTTGGTTGAATAAACTAGATGACATTCAGTTGACCTAAGGTGGTTTGTGCTCCGGAGGGCTTCTTTTCCATTTTGTTTTTTGATGATATTTATTAACTAGCTTCTAAGGGTACAACAGCATCTGTCTCTTCCCTCACGCCTCCCGAAGCCTGGGCTGTCTGGGGAGCAATGTATGAGCTCCCAATGTGCATGCCAGCGACCTCGGCCGGACTGACGGGGTCCTGAGAGCAGCCGGGCTGACTGTTAGCTCCTATTGTGTTCTGTGTTAGTGATCACTGCCTTTCACACAGTCTGTTGGAATACTAATATAAAAATAAGGTGAATATATTTTAAAACCACCAAATAACATCATTATTGAAGCGGTGGCCAAGCTCTTAGAGAATCTGGTAGCTCTAGCTAATTTAAAAACAAAACCCAAACATGTTAAGTTATTCACTAGGAGGTAATGCAAACATTTATTCCTTTTTGGGAAGCCGGGCATCTTTGGAGCTCTCTCTGCAGCCCAGAGGCTCCCCCCGGCTTCCCCCGGGGGGACCGGAGTACCTTCTGTGTCCCCTCGTGAGCTGCAGACCCTGGGCCTGGGCAGCCAAGTCTCCTCGCAGGAGCAAGGGGGACGATTTCCTCGAGGAGATCCACAGGCGGACTGCAGATGATGGATTCCTCGTGCTTCTCTCCAAGACGTGAAGGAGCTGGGCTGGTGCTTGAGTTCATCTCTGTTTTGCTTTTCTACTGTTGAATTGAATAACACAGCAGTGGAGGGTTTATTGGCATGTTTGCGACACACGAAATAGCCGTTTTTGTAACTTAACGCTGTATAGTTTCCTTTTACTCTGTTGACAGAATGTGTAACCAATGGCACACACTTTAAAATCTCTGTTAAATCGCCTCTCTGCTTTCTTAGCAAATATTTTAAACCTAAAGCTAAATGTTGAAATAAAGGAGTTAGAGACTTAACTGAGATGCAAACGGAGATCTTACTGGCTCCTAATTTAATGACCTGCCCTTGGAATGTTGTTTTCAGCGGCTTCTAAAGCACTGAAGGAACTCATCATCTGTTGCCATATTAAATTTGGGAGATTTTCTCGTGTAGCTCCAATGTCTCAGGGTCTGCCACCTCCTTTCTTCATGAACAGATTTGAGTCCATGCTCTTTCACCTTAAGAACAGGGAGTTCAAATTCTTGACATTCTTGGGGCGGGATGGTGGGGATAGTGGGGGGGGGCGCACACGTAGAAAAATCCCAAACTCAGTACTCCAGCTATGTTTTGTTTGAGGGACTGCGGCGATACAGCATCTCTGATCCTACTCCTTCAGAGAAGTGTCATTTTATCATTCTGCCCGTTGATTTGGCATTCTAAGATATTTCTAGAAGATGGTGCACAAGATCTAAAATATACATGATAATGATGATTCAGTTTCTTCGTTAGAGCGTTATCACGTGTTTCCGTGGTTTTGTTCTTTTTTTTTTTTTTCTTTTGACTTCACTTAAATAGAAGAAACTAGAAGGGCAATTGGAGAGAGGGTTTAATCTAGAAGACACAGAACAAGACTGTAGATTTAAAATATTGCTCAAATATTTTTGAGGCAATTGTATCCCTAATTAACTTTCAACCCTTTTTTTTTTTTAAAGATTTTATTTATTTATTTGAGAGAGAGGGAGAGGGGCAGAGGGAGAGGGAGAAGCAGGCTCCCCACTGAGCAGAGACCCTGATGTGGGGCTCGATCCCAGGACCCCGGAATCATGACCTGAGCCGAAGGCAGGATGCTTAAGCGACTGAGCCATTTTCAACCTGTTTTGTCTCACTTTTGAGATAGTTGCATTAGCTTCTCCCTAGGAGGTTAGCGTGATATATATGTGCAAATTTGGATGATTTCTTTAAAACATTTAAAAAGCCAACCTAATAGAAAAAAATAAAGGACATAGTCACGGAACGCTTTTGCTGTTTATGAACCCCTCATATATACGGCAGTGGAAATTCATGAAGTAAAAATTTAGATTTTGAGTGCTTCTAGTGTGTAGTCAACACACACCTAGGGAGTGTCTAGACTGAAGTCCGTTTCAAACCACTTTTTTTTTCTTTTTTTAAAGCAGACCAGGAAATCGAGAAACCCAGACTCCAGTGTCTTACTCTTAGTGTGTGACATTTTACTTGTTACTCCCCTTTACGTACGACGGGCCCCGAGGTGAAACTCCCAGCTGGGCCTCTGGGTTAGTCGCAGATGTGGGGACACCCAGAGCCCGCCTTCTGAGATCTGTGTCTATTTTCTGACCCTCCCTCTGGTGTCAGAATCATTTTTCAAGCTTTGTCCTCATGCAGGACTTTATTTTAGTGTATCCTAGTTAGGAACTGAGTGGAGGAAGGCAGGAAACCTTCCCAGGTACTGCGCGCCTGACCCGAATTCAGGAAAAAAGGTTTGTTCACAAAATTCAGACGCAGGAACTCACATGCCATTTTCCCTCTCCCCTTCCCATATTTTCCTCACAACGTGACTTGTCCCATTTACATTTCAGAGACTTCGAAAGTCCAAGAGAAAACATTGGAACGAGATCGCATCTTATATATCGTTTTTACCATGAAGCAAACATTATAACTATTTTCTGGAAACAGCTGAGTGGCATGCCAGCCCCTTTCCTGCTCTTTCAAATGAACTTCCGGGACACATTGTCGTTTCTGTGTATTCCACGCTGCTCAAACAGGGTGCATACACCCTCAGATTGGACGTGTCCACACCCTTTGCAGAAATGCAGTGCAGTGGTCAGTTGGGACTTCAGAGAAATTCATTGATCATTTGAATGTGTGAGGACAACTGTCCTAGAGTTTGGAAGCTTGGGTTTCATCTCTGGCTCTTCCGCCAATGAATGGAATGGTCTGAGGCCATTTGTTTGATTTCTCTGGGAATGGGCTCTTGATCTGTATAATTGGGTAGGATGATCTCTAAGACACACCGGGGAAGACAAATACTATGATTCCATTTTTTTTTTTTAGACTATCCTTTATTAGGAAAGACGTCCTCACACCCATGGTCAGAATATAGACCGGGGTATTCTAAAAGCCTAGAGTGATCATAGTTCGTAAGATTCCAGATGCGCCGGGGGTAATCCCACTCCCGTCTGCCCTTGGTACCATCTTGCGAAACACGAATTAACTTGCATTTTGTGACTGTCAGCTCAGGACAGGAGTTAGTGTCCCAGTCTGCAGATTTTCCCTACTCTTTCTGAAATGTGTCCAGGCCCCTCTTGAGCGGAATACACAGGACTTGCTTGTCCTGCTGATGTTGGCAGCGTGGTTCATATTTCAGTCATCCATTGTGTAAAGAAATTCTGCCTGAATTGCTTACAGGCTATTCTAGGGAGATAGCCAGAGCCCGGTGTTTCATTTTCCTGGTGCCCCCTCTCTCTCTTTCTCCTTAGAGAAGGGGGTCGGCAGAGGAAGTAGATCAATGTTCCCCCAGAGCTGTTCCTTTTAGGGTCCTCTATCCGGATTCTGATGTCTCTAGGCCCTTCCTTGCTCACCCTCCAGCTCCTTTGCTGGGGATCCCGGTACATTAGCCACATTGTTTGTGGTGCGTTTTTACAATCCCCTGTCATGTCTGTGTGCAGTTTGGCAGGCTGCACATTGGAGTGGGGATTTGGAGAGCTGGCCCACTGTCCCTCCACTGCAACCCCGCCCCCCCCCCCCCCCCGCCCCGCCGCCCCTTGCCCTACCCGCCCCCCCCACCCCCACCAGGTCTCAGGCTAAACACAAGGCCTGCATTATAAAGCCCTCATCTGTACCTCCTGGGCCCCAGCCCCAGCCCAAAGACATGCAAACACCTGGAGGGGAGTGCGTGTTCTGAAGGAGGCAGCTCTGGGCTGAGAATTGTGCAACTTCGGGATGTGTGTGGACACACGCAAGGCTCCTGGAAGGGGATCCTAATTCTTTGACATGATCCGAAGGGGACCCCACCGCAGAAAGATTGGGATGGTATCTGCAGGATGTCGAAACTGCTAGGTAGTCGACTAAGAAATCAACCAATCTGGTTTTCCTTTGTTTTTGGCCTTGGTGCATAAAAACCTTCTAGAAAATGAAAGTTTTGTTTCCTTCCTTTGCTTTCTTTTTCTGACTATCAAATTTGTGAAGACGTTAGTGAGCAAATTTGTGAAGTACCCCTCAAATTGCTTTTTTTTTTAAAGCAAAGTCGTGGAAGAAGCAGGATTTTGGGGGGTTGCTGTTGAATCGGCCACAGGCAGTTGGGTCTTTCCATTAGTTGCTCTCACATGCCTGAACGAATCTGCTGGGCCCAGGGTGGGGATGGGGCGGAGGTTGGGGGGGCAGGTGGGGCTTGGGTAGAATATTTGCTCTTTGAGGGTTATTAAAGCTCCATTTCATGAACTGGATGGGATCATTAAGTAAAATCCACCTTGTAAAAAGTGGTCGCCCTCACCTCTCTTGTGATCAGGGGAGAGACTCAACTTCCCTGTGTCGGGACCTGCATTTCTGGACCAAAGTGAGAAGAGCCCGTGTACTGCTTGAACACCAAGGAGCCACTCTGAACACACCAGCGGCTCCAGCCATGGCCCCTGGCCATGGTCACTGTTGCTTCAGCTGCAGCTGCCTGGAATTGCCTCCAGCGACAGTCCCATAACACTGAGTCCGAAATTCAAGTTCTCTACCACAGGCAGACCCTTCCTGTGCTAGGCTTGTAAGCTGACCCGTCTTGGACAAACTTGAGAACCGAGTGTGTCTTCACTTGGGGCATCTGCAGAGCTCCCTTGTGGCAGCAAGCTGGATCTCCCTCAGAGAATTCCAAATTTCCCAGCGGTCCACTGGTTGGGTTCACTCTTCTGAGGACCCCACAACTCCTGACATCTGCCTGGACCCATGGGGACCTCCTGGAAAGATGAGGGGACTGGTCATGTGTTCGGTCTGACCCTTGGGACAGGGACACTGGACAATTTGAGGAATCGGAGTGGGAAGGTGGGCAGGGAGGCCGCCATTTGGTGCACATACCTAACAAAAGTCCTAACCGATAAGCCCATAAATGGATGCTCT